ATAACAAAATTGAAATCAATAACTTTACTAAAAACCAACCAACATGGAAGGAATTAGACAAAGGAAAATTAAATTATAATTTTAAAATTAAATTTTTATTTGAATTAAATTCCTAATTTTAAAATTAAATCGATAATCTCTAATTCTAAAATTAAATTTGTAACCTTAATTCTAAATTAAATTTCTAATATGTAATGTTTAATTGTATATGAACTTCTTAGTTCTAAATTAAATCCCCAAATCAAAATTAAATCCATAATATAAAATCTACATTAAATTTAAAATTATAACTTAACAAACCCATTAACACTTAGACAGTAATGACAGATCAAAAGAGTTAAGTGTTTATGAAGAACCTCAAAGTAATAAAAATGAAAGGTTGAACACAGTAGCCTGCAGATAGCAGATATGTCATTCACTCAATCTTGTGTAAAGAATAACAAACGACACAACCAAGGGTGAATTTATAACTGATCCAGTATAACATATACCAAACTAAACATTCTAAAGCAAAGGCAAATTTTGTGAAGATTGATGTTTGTGAATGGGAAAAGTAAATGATGTACACCAAGGACCAACCTTACCAGAGGAAATTCTATGCAATTATCCTTCTTCTGGGTATCCATGTTGCTGTTGCTTGAAAGAAAAGTGTAGCATATGACATACTAACAAAGTTTGTAAAACAACAACACCCTAAACATAGTTGAATCAGCAATCCTTCACTACCTCAAAAAAATAGGGCATGTTTGCAAACTACAAAATGCATTTTTATTGTTGTTTTTGGTGGCATGTTCGAAACCAACCAGTTTTGAACTAGCTTAACACAGTAAAAAATAGTGAAGAACTGGTTCTATCTGTTTAAAACCAACTCACAACTAGTTCAGAAACGGTTTTAAACTAGCTAATTTACCAGTTCTGAACTGGTTTATTATTGTTTCTTGATACCAGCAAAAATAATTGACTAAAACAGGATTCCTTGCAAATTGCAACAAAAATTGTATATACACAGAAACTGTAAATAAATTTTCACACATAAAAAAACACACTTGATGCGCTCACACATGCACAGAATATTATATAGTCAATGCATATACATTGATGATATATGAAAGTAGAGCTGATTCTCTTTTTCTGTGCCAATTTTGGTGCCCGCTGCATATCACACAACTTTATTGGACGTAAACATCAAATAGGGTGCATATGGTACAAAAAAATTGTTATTTTTTAACATTTTCCAGAAGGTAGGAACTAAATCAAATGAAACCCTAATCTTATCACGCTGTAAACGGGATAGTCCTGAACCATAAATGTAAAAATAAATTATCAAAACAAAAAACGGGAATCTTCCACCTCAAATTTCATTATTTTTTATATGCAGAGATGTAATGTTATATAGAAATGTGGAAATAGAGTAAAAAAAAAATGAATTGGTTTGGGATACCAAAATAAAACTACAAGAAAAGATAATTTGGGTTGGGTGTGAAAATAATAAACAAAAAAGTAAAAGATAAAAATTATATTAAATATCTATTTTAGTATCTAAAAGTGGTAGGTGATCTATGAATTATTAAACACTGAAATTATGAAAATGTTAATTTCCTACCATGTGAAAAAAAAAAAAAAGTTATAGATATAACTACATACTAGTACTACTTTAATTTCCAAATATTCGTTGTTATTATGACTTTGATCCAAAATCTTGAATTTTGAATTAATGTAATTCTTAATTCATACTTTCGTACTTAAATCTTAAAATTTTATTTGAACTAGTTTTTCCGTAAATGTTATCAAGAAAAAAAAACAAAAATGAAAAAAAAATCTTCATGAACTTTATTTTAAAAAGTTCTTACACAGAAGCTTATTTATAAAAGTTTATTAGGATATCTTCTCTATATTTTTGTTTGAAACTTATACATAAAATAATTTATAGTTTTTGAAAAAAAAAGTAAAAATTTATCTAATCAAACATTCTAGAAAATCATATGCCAGAATAAAATAGATGACTCGTATTGATTAATTAAATAAATAAAAATTACAATCATTCACATATAAGTATAATATCAACAGAGGGTGATGGTCGAGACTCTATTTAGATATGCAATTGCATTAATATTCGAATAGAAAGTTTTCTCCATCATTATAGTTCAAGTTAAAGATAAAATCTACAGTAGTTTTCAAAATATTATCAACTAAACAATATTTAACTTTTACCATCCTTTAATCTTGTTAACTAGGAGAGAATTCTGAAAATTTGTGTGATAAAAAAAATATAAACATATTAATTTTTGACATCAATATATAAATAATTTTTAGAAATCGATCAACGAATCAAGTCAAATCTTGATATGTCAGATTAACGGATTTGTAAAATATTAAAAAATTAAATTTAGATTTAAAAATAAATAATATCTATGATAATATATGATTATGAATCTATTAGCTAACTTACACTCGACTAATTAACCTCATTGACGACAATGATTTCTGAACTAACTTTTAGCATCCTCTAATTTTGTTAATTATGAAGGAATTTTGAAATTTGTATGATAAAAAAAATTAAAAATATAAATAATTTAAAAGGACATTATTAATTCATGCAATACAAAACACAATTTTAGATCTTACAACTTTTAATAAGCAAATTCATTTGGACCTACTGATTCACTTTGTTTTCTTATTCAAATATCACTTTTGTCTCTGTTTATTTGATGTTTAAATAGTTAAATTACTCAAAATTATCAAAGGATATTATGTTTTTGAGTGAATTTCTATTTTCACTTAAAGAAATTCCCTGGAAAAAAATAATATGTTCTTTTCACACACCCTCACAAGAAGACCAAAGCCATAAAGCAGATCAGAACAAAGAGGAATAAATAAGGCCACCATGAACTTTTTTTCTATACCTATGCAAACAATAGTGAGTGAACATAGGGTAGTTGCATTCAGGGTTTTTATTTTCCTTTTCCACACAATAAATCTCTATCTTTTATTCCTTTCATCAAGTCTAAATCATTGTCGTGGAGGACATTGTTAAGTTGAGTACAAAAATTGGTTCTTGTCCCAACCCAAATGGTTGAACATAGAGGTTGGAAGTTGCAAATTTTTCGTACAAATCGAATTTTAGACATAGAATAAAGCTACTTGTCTTTTTATAACTTCCAAGAAAAAACGTGTTTTGGAAAAATAATCTAAAGAATCACGTACAAAAACAAATTCATTTAGATTATGTTCTCTTTGTAGTTTGTTTCATACACAAAGTTTAGGGTAAGAGAGAATTTGTTCTCTTCTTTTTCAAAATGGAAAAGATTTCGAAAAAGAAATAATAAAAGAAAATAAAATTGGTCCATCACCATATAAATAATTGTGGAACCTTTGTGATCAAATCTTTAGTCTCTCTTTTTAATTTGACACGCGTTTTTCTTTTCTTTTTTTCTTTTTCTTTAAAGGTGAAAAGAAAATTATGTGTGATTCTGAATTTTTTTATTTTCCCTCTTTAATGGTGGAGAACCCTTTATAGAATATAAAATAGCTTGAGTTGATCCCTACCAAACTAACTAACGGTAATTAAAATCTAAAACTTTATATTATCCTTTTTAGTTTATTGAATGTTACTTCTTTTCTTCTTCTTTTTTTATATTTTTTCTTTTTTTATAGTTTTTGTTTTGGTAGATTATGCTCTAAAAGTCTCCATTCTTCTAATCTATATTGACTAAAACTTTAAATAGATTAATAAAATTAATAATATGTCCATTATCAATATTTTAAAACTTCAATTTAATACTTTATATCTTTAAAAGTTATTATTTTTATTTTTTAATAAAAACATTGAATAAGTTAATAGACACAAACAATAAAAAAAAAACTAACATTTTTAATTCTAAAGGTATTATTCTCCTAATCAGATTAAAAATTTCATCTTATAATATATAAAAATATTTATTACACTAAGGCTTCCACATAAATCTTATTAGAGAATAGTAAACTCAAAGTTTTATCATTTAATTAACCGCCCAACACAAAAATAAAAAAACCGATGAACCCAATTAAAACAAAATCCAAATAGCAACATCCAACTATATAAAGTAACAAAATCAACACTTCCAAGGGGAGATGCCAACCTGACTCAACCCATTAACATGGTGGGTTGACTAGTGAGTTGGTTCACGAAATGGAAAATCTAAAAAGAAATAAGTCATTAAATTAATTTTTAACTCAAAATTATAACTTTTACAATGAGCATATATATGAGCCCACATACTCAATGTAGACAAGTATTATAGTGATGGCTTAATGACTCTGGGGACCATTTTTCCATATGTTGGTTTACAGTGAATTTTCCTATGTTGATGGTATTTGTTTGGTAATCTCATAACCCTTTTCCAATGAATTTTTGTGCCGTTGCCAGAAATGGGTCATCGTGATTTTCTTCACCACAAAGTAAATAGACAATTTTTACTAATAACTTTCTGCAATTATCTCAAGAATAAAACTTTCTAGAGCATCTCCAAAAAATTTATTATCGATAATTATTTAGGAATAAAAGTAAATTTTAAGTAATTTATGAAATTTATAATAAAATATTTAATTTTATTATTGGAGACTTTGGTTTTCCAACGGAGACGTTCTTTTACAGTTGTTTGGAGAATTTTATTTTCCAACTTTAAATAGTGTTCAATGAAGAAACATCAGGGGAAAAAAAAAACAATCATGTCTCATTTTAATTCCTCTGTCAACCAACAAAACATGCCTCTCACAGATTAGTTATGATAATAAATCAACCCGTTATATGAAATGAAAAACTCCAAACTTATCAATCAACATACATAAAGAGAACTTCATGTACAAAACTACAAAGCACTTGAAACAACTTACCGTCCTTTGTGCTGATTACCAATTAAAACAACTTTCTTCAACCTAAATCTCATCTCATCATTTTAGCAAAAATGAAAAGAGAGTCTATAAAAATTGACATAAATGCAAAACATACATAGGGAACTGTACTAGAGTCCACTTGAACTAATCAACTTGGTTAGACCAAAAGTAATGGCCATGGCCATCCAACCCCCAACCAAGACCCTCGCAGCAGACCTAAACACCGGAGCCCTACCCAACACAGCCCCTAACCAACCAAACACCACCAAAGCCAAGGTCACAGCAGCCACAACCACCCCAAGCCTCACCTTGTAGTCCTTTATAAAGGAGGCTGCAAGCAATGGTACCATTGCACCAACAGCAAAGGCTAAAGCTGAGGCTGCTGCTGCTTGTAAAGGGTTTGGCAAGCTTTCTTTCTGTTCCCCGGTATCTTCCACTTCTCTGTCACTACCTTGCATCCTTTCCTTCTCTCTCTTCATTTGGGCAACCTCTATGTCAAGTTGTGAGTAAACAGACACAAACTCCCCTATGGCCATGCTGCACGCTCCTGCCACCAACCCTGCAAACCCTGATATGATCATGGCCTTGATGTCTTGCTTTGCTGCTCCAACACCCATCATCAGTGATGCTGTTGAAACCAAACCATCGTTGGCTCCCAACACAGCAGCACGCAGCCATTGAGATCTTTTTGAGTAGTCAAAGTTGTCCACAGATTCAATCTCTAGATTTGTTGCATGTCGCTCAAGGTCATTGTTTGGAAGGGCAAACTTGGCTTGGTTGAGGGATGTTTGATTTGATGACATGGTGAGGAAGCTTGAGCAAATTCAAGAAAAATAATAATCAATAGAGGATGATGAAGATGATGAATAATAATAATAAGAGGAAGATGAAGGTGTGTGGAGAAAGTGTGGAGGACACACGCTACCATGAAGGGTATTTATGGATGAAAACCGTGTATGTTGGAAGCAAAAGTGGGGCAAGCCCACTAGTTAAAAGACGAAAGATATTTTATTCACCAAATGTCATATAAAATATGAATTGGGTTTTAAAGTATGGTAGATTTTGTCTCACTTATTAAAGAGTGCATTAAAATTACAAAGGAGGAATAATGGAAGAGGAAAGTTTACTCAAATTATAAATATAGTTTACAGAGTTGATATACATATAACCCTACACCCAATAAACAACTATATATAATAATATAATAATAGATAATAATATTATATTGATATATCCGTAGAATATTCCAAAAAAAAAAAACTCTGGTCAAAAATATCATTTGTGTGTAGTAAAAGCCTGTGTCTGACTTAATTATACTTTTTGAGATATATTTACTGAAATTTGTGTTCCTATCAAATTGGTTTTGCAAATAAGTTGAGCCTTTCTCCTTGTAAATTCGCACAATCTGTGAACATGAGTTGTTTTGGTTTCACTAAAACGCACACCTTTTTCTGTTATAAACTAGAACAGATAATAAAGCAAACCTTAGATTAATTAGAAGTATCAAAATTTGGAGAAAATCTTGCAGATGTCATTTTCTGAATTAAAGCATGGAAGGTTGGAAAAGAAAACAGATTAATACTGTGTAACAAAGTTGTTTTTTTGGACCAGTGACACCCACTTAAACAAAATTAACATTCTTAAGCAAAAATTCAGCAGACAACTATAATCAAGTGGCAGAAGAAATTAATTGTTTATTAATGTAATGTCACATACTGCTTTTCCTCATAAGGAGAAAAAAAATAAAAGTTCACCTCTTTATAAAGCCCCAAAACAATGTGAGGACACTGTTGATCAGATAAAAAGTTTCACCAACAAGCAATGCTATATCATTGAATCCCAGACGCAAATGAAATAAAGATAAGGGATTGATTTATTTGATGAGAAAACAAAGCAATGGGAGGCAAAGTGATTGAAGTTTTTAGTGTGCAAAGTGTAACACCATCATTATATATTTGTAACCCTCTTTGGAAAAATAACATCTAGATAACCCAGTCTTGTGATAAAAAATTGTCTAAAAAAAATCATTTTTTTAGTGTATAAAATAACTTTTTTGGTGGTTACACTTGACAGTTAGTGCTTGACGTGTCTTACTCTAATTTCACACAAAAATTGTTTCTTGATCCACCATAATCACAATTACATTTAATCCTCCTATAAAAAAAATTAATGAATTAATTATATATATATATTAAATATATAATAATTATATTAATATTTTTAAAATATTATTCAAAATTAATATTTTATTATATTTTATAAAATTATATATTCATGTATTAAAATACGTAAGTATATTTAATAATTTAAATTTAATTTTTTAATATTTGTAATAAATTATAATATATTTATATATTTTTAATATTTTAAATTATAATTATTTTAATTTAACATATAAAATATTTTAAAACTGATAATCTATCAACCCATCTCATCTTAATAATAGGATTAAATAGGATTAAATAGAACAAACAAAATAAAATTATTTTGATTAACTAAAATTATTAATTGATCTATTAATTTGAGACTGAATATATAGCGACCACTTTTGTCATTCTATAAATTTCATGAGAAGAATAATAATTATGCCGTGACTCAGATAAGGACAAAGGAGTTGGTTAACCCTTAACACCTCTCTTTCCGATGAGAAAACAAGGGTAAAAGTATATTATTTTGAGGTACTTATCGTGTTCTTTCGGTTTCAATTCAAAAACTAGCACAGAGAAGTTCACGTGACCATGCTTGAGTTAAAGGTAATGATAACGGTTGTGCTTCATATCACACCTGGGTCGGTTCATAACTCTAACTATAAGTACGTAAATTTGGGACATGCAAGTTATAGACCAAGCCTTGCTTTATTGAAGTAACTTAATTCATTCTAATTATCAGTTTTATTATATTAACTTAATTAAATTCTAATTCTTTTTAATCATTTTTAGTGTATTTTTATTAATTATACTAAAAAAATAACTTATAATATAATTTCTTAAAACTAAAATAGTTCATAACTTTTTTTTTTCAAACAAGATACCATTTCATTAGGTATTTTAATAAAGATAGAATTGAAAAAAAAAATTATATATATATATATATATATATATATATATATATATATATATATATATATATATATATATATTTTGCACGTATATGCACGCGAGTTACACCCTCTAGGTCAACTGTATACTATCAGAAGAAAAACAGAACTAATAACGCTATTTAAAAAATAATAAATGATATTGACTATATTCTAATAATTTCTATAAGCAAAATATACTACAAAACTTGTCATTGATTGCTATGTAAATCTTGAAAAGAATATCAAATAATTATATAAATAATAAAATAGTAAGCAAAATTATATTTACATGTATAATTATGTGATAACTGGGTAAATAAAATAATACTCTCAGATTATAAAAATTAACGTAACAAATAAGTTTATATAAAATAAGAGTTATACGGTTGGTGTATACAGTAGAACAAATTTTAATTAAATAAGAGATTAAGGGTGTTTAATTTTATACTTTTGCAACCTCACGATTGTTATTTTTTATTCTATCAAAATTATGTTATATTTTTTCAAGTCCTATTCTAATGAATGAAAAATAAATTAAAGGTTTATTTTTTTATTATTTTTAAAAATAGTTTTCGCTTTTTATTGAAACTGATTTAATTATCATTCATCTAAAATAGTTTTTAAATTGTAATTATCTAATAAGTTTTTATTTCATTTTTTAAAATTATCCTTCAAAGTTATTTCTAGAAGCTAAATCAAACATGTTTTAAATTTTTTTTATTTTAGTATCAATCTCTTCAATGATGGTAAATAACGCACTTGTACTGAAAAAAATATTTTAGATGATCAATATTTTTATTATTCTAATTTAAATTTTATAAATTATATAAGTAAAATCTACATTAATTTATTTAAATACACTAGTTTACTATTTATATTTATATATCTTCTCTACTCATAAATTGTTTTTTTTTCTTCATTCATTCATTATTTTATTTTTTTTATCTCACGTCTCTTATTTTCTTCTTTTTCTCTCTCACTCCTTATTATAATTAAAACCATCATGTACTATGACGAAGCAACGAATATTTTTTTTCAACCCTTAGCGTATGGGAAAAAAAAAAATATATATATATATATATATATATATATATATATATATATATATATATATAACTTCATTTTTTCCTATTAAACTCATAAATAAATAAGCATCTCCAAATAAAATTTTTAATTATAATTATTTAAGAATAAAAATGAATATTTTATTATAAGTCTCAAAATTAAGTTGATTAAAATTTGATCAGAGTTACTTATACAAATAATTTTCTTCTAATTTTAAGCAACTTTCTCTATTTTTAAACAACTTAAATATGGGACCTACAATAAAATATTCATCATATTTATAAATATAAAATTAATTGGTTGTTTTCTCACATTTTCTATTAATATATTAATTACAATTGATCCAATTGTTGAATTAGAACAATAATATTAATTGAATAACAAAGATCAAATAAAAATTAAATTTAAACATAAAGAACAATTTATTTAAGACTAAATCAAAATAAACTGGATTAAATTAAAAAAAAAAACATAAAAGATTACAATTATCAACACTACAAGAAATTTTGATATTATCGACAGTCAAAATCCGTCGGTAATAACAAAAATCCGTCGGTAATATCCATTTACCACTAGTGCAGAATAGGGCTTTTACGTCACCCAATTGTCGTCGCATGCAACGCGGTGGCAATTTTGTAAATATGGGACAAAAATTTTACGTCGCACATCCCAGTATGCGACGTAAAAAGCCTCTTTTACGTCGCACCTGGGAGGCGCGACGTAAAAGGCCATCTTTTACGTCGCGCACTCCAGGTGCGACGTAAAAGATGGCTTTTTACGTCGCGTGCTGGGATGCGCGACGTAAAAAGTCTATTTTATTTCCCTCCAGACCCACTTCCTCATCTCGCGCAACCAGGGTTTTTAAGAACGACGACGAGAACGACGACAACAGCTACCTCTGCACACCATTTTCGAGCAGTTTTACAGTGAAAAACATCTACATTATCGTGTCATTTGACGAACTTGATCTTTCTCCCCGATTGGATTCGAGTTTGAAATCAGTTTTCGTCTACACTCGAGGTTAGTGTTCTATGTCATTGCTATATGTTTACATTGAATCCGTGATTGTTTTTGGGGATCTCAATCACGTTATAGTATGAATGTCTCCACTGGATTGTTATTGGAATGTAATTATTTGTTTATTTGTTTGAGTGCATTCAGTTTACACACTCCATTGTTGTTGGAACGTGCTTTGTTGTTTGTATATTAATTTTTTTTACATATAATTTTTAAATCTCTAGGAGGGACAAAACTTTATAACATAATATGAATTGAAGTTGGATGAATGCACGTCGTATTAGTGAAGAGTACGAAAAGGGAGTTGAGGAATTTTTGAAATTTGCTAGTGAAAATGGAAAAGCTATGAAAGGGACATATTATTGTCCATGTGTTCGTTGTTTGAATCAATTTCGTCATAAACTTGAGGATATACGTGATCACTTGTTTGTTTATGGTATTATTAAGAGTTATACAATATGGACATGGCATGGAGAAATATTAGACATCCCAACTGTGTCAACTACAGACAATTTTGATGAAGGGATGGATGATAATCTAGAGGATATGATACGTGATATTGGTGAAGAAAATTTTATGAAAGCACATCTATATGATTCTTTGAAATCTGATTTTGCGCAACAATTGTTCATAGGATGTAGT